ATTTTTTCTAGCTACAGGCTTTTTTTTTTTTTTTGCCTCCACAGCAGCACTTTCTGAAAAGTTTTTTCTTTATTAAGTTTCAGACAACTTTTTTTTTAGACCACCCCCAGCTTGTTAGGACTAATTATCTGAGCACATTAATAACATAAGTATCTCAATCATGACACCTACACAACAAATTTTTTCTCCCAGCGTTTTGATGTTTTTAGGAACTTTAGCTTTTTGAAAATCTTTTTGTTCCTTAAAAAGTATAATATCGTAACATATGTTTGTATATAATCTCTATAAAATTTCAAAAGTATTTTGTATTTTAAAATAATCAAAAAAAATTAAAAAAAAAAAAAGTGGCTAAAGGTAGGTCTCGGCTACGCTGGCATGTTATTAATCGAAATCTTTTAAAACTGTATAATGGTTTTTTCAACGATTTTCAAAATTAAGATGAGCTTGGCTCAATGCAATTTTCAAGTGAAAATCAAACTGTAAAAGTTGATAAATATTTTAGTATGTTTTAACATTACTTAAATTGAAGTTTGCCTACATTAGATAAATGCATACAGGTTCGTTCACATTTTCTTATAAAACAAAGTGCTGCGACTCTTTCTCGCCACTACCTCAGTTTCATTGGCTGCCATAAATTTTAAGGAAGTGTGGGGAAGAGTGACAGCTCTTTTTAATTCAATTTCATTTCATATTTCATCTCAAATTATTTCATCTTTTATTCTGAGTCTTGTGCTTCAATTTGTTAAGAATCAAATAGTTACATGCTTGGCCTAGGCATATACTTATCTATTAGTTTACCTATTTTTTGTTAAAGTTTAAATCTTCTTTCTATTCTTGTATGTCATTTTGTTTAGCACCATTTCACACAATCAGCTTTCTCTTTATTTTTTATTGTTCTCCTTCTTTCAAAGGCTGCATTTTTTTGGGGGGTTGGTTTTAAGTCAAGTCTAACTCTAACTACTCTAGTTAGTAATAAGCATTCATAATATTTTTAAATATTAATTGAATATTTAATTATTTTTTTTTAATATTTCTTGTTAAAGATCTTTAGTGTCAGAAAAACATTTTTTTGTTACTAAACTCTAATACAGGGATTATCTTTTTCCGGATATTTCCGGAAATCCGGATATTTTTTTCAACTTTTAGTTTTTCCGGATATTCAAAACATTTTCAATACGTGCAAGTTGAGGTATATATTTTTGTAATATATTTGGTTTTTAGGCTTTTTCATTCATCACTCATAAAAAATATATAAAAAGTGTCAAAAAAAAACTAAAAACAACTTAGCTAAAAGGAAATTAAAAAGAAAATAAGGGAAAATACATTCCGGATTTTTTCCGGAATTTTATTCAAACAATTTTCCGGATTTTTAAAATATGACTAGGATGATCTATGCTAATAAAACATTATCCCCTATAAATGCTATGCGAAGATTTAGATTGTAGGTTTTCTAAGCACAAACTCTGAACAAAAATTTTCAATAACAAATTAATAATACAAATAATAAAAAAATTTCAAGCCGCAAAAAATATAATTTATCTTATTTATATATATTTATATAAAATAGTTATTCTAGTGCACTATTTTATATAATCTTTTTTACAAGAGCAACTTCTAAAGATTTTATTAGGAATCATTTCAAAAGGATATTGTCTAACCTACTCATTCTGGTCCATTTATTCTCAGATTCTTAAGTCTAAAGTTTTTGGAAAATCTTATGCTCTTAAGATATTACAAGCTTTCAATAATGTCAGCTTTTTATTTAAGTGAAATGTTAAAAGGTTGTGATAATTAAGATGAGAGTTTTAGTTGTTAAAGAAACTTTTTTTGCTTGTGCATTGTGGAATTGTTTTAAGTAGATTTTTTAAACTGTTTTAAGGTATTTGGTTAGGGGGTTTACATTTTGAAATTATATCAACTGTAAGCACCAACAGAGGGCAGCCAAGTTTAAGCTACACCATCGACAGGAAAATGAAAAAAATACTTTTTACATCTTTTTACTTAAACATAGCAACGCAATGTTTAAGTAAAAAGAAAAACCTGCAAACATTGTATATAGTAATAATTAAAAAATATATACATATGTATATATTTTTTATGTTTGGAAAAATTACATTTTGTACATTCCAATTGATGCTTGAAAATCTTCTAAATTTTCAGATGTATATTTTTTCTATTGAATTATTGAATATTTTGAAATTTTTACATAAAAATAATTAAAAAATGATAAAAATTTATTTAAATGATAAAAATAAATAAATATTAAAAATAAAAAATGTAAAATATAAAGGCATATGATATTTTTTTATATACAGAAAAATTAAATTATGTAAGATTTAATGGTTTTTTTAAATGATACTTTAATAATGATAGTATAAATATTATTTAATAAATTATTTATTTCTGCAGCTCATTGATCACATACAGGTGACTAACAGTTCAGTCAACACTATCTCCCAGATTTTGTTAGATGCGTGTTCTCATGTGCAACAGATCTCATTGCCTGCAATCAACTCAAAAATATAAATACAACTATTAGTATAACAATTAATAGTTATATAAATACAACTAAAAATTAATAAATAAAAAATAATATTATATAAATACATCTAATAATTTTAGTAATATTGATTAAATTTTCAATTACTATTTTTTTGTTTTGAAATAGAATTTAGGTTCTTATATCTTTTGAATCTTTTTCAACTTTTTTTTTTTAACTTCTTTAATACTTTTTTAACATTAAACATTAAATCGTGTATATGATCTGAACTTTTTTTAAAAAAAAGTTTAGATCATATACACAATTTTTTTTTTGTTAAATTTAGATTAGATTGTATTTATTAGAACATATAATGCATGTTCTAAAGGACATACAGGTCCATATAAGACACCGACAGCGTGCCCTAAAATAAATTATGTAACAGCGTACAACATTGAATAAATAATTTATATACAACTAAACAATAAGATATGCAGTCAACACCAACATAACTTTTCAAAATTGATTGAGTTAATTTTATTCTTAAAGATGTTGATATTATCGGCATTAACAACATCAAAAAGGCAACTATTTCCAAATGTTAATTACTCGGTAAAAGAAACTAAATTTGCCAATATCTAGTCAACATTGTTGTTTGTGTATTTTATAATTATGTCCTCACATGTTGTTTTTGCTGTCAATAAAAAAGAACATAGATTTTTCAATGAAATGATGTCAATAAAAAATAACATAGATTTATCAATGTTCTTTTTTATTGACAAAGACCAAGTCACACAGAATTTTAAAGCAAGTCGATAAATCATGTTTTATCTCAAGTGACTCCAAATCAAGCAACTTGTGGGTTATCATAGGTTAAATTGCTTAAGTGCAGGATTTTTTTTGTGAAATGTTTTTGCATGTTGGAAACTACCTTTATTAGTTCAACATGATATGGCGACCAAACTTGAATATTCCAATATCGGCCTAATTTTAAAACTGCAAGAATTAAAAAATAAATTTAGATTTAAAAAAGTTATTATAAAGGATTCATTTTCTTTATTTTATGCACAAAATTGCATACATTGAGAAATATTTTGAGATTTTATTAAGTTAAAGTGGCTTTTATTATATTAACAAGTTTCTTTCGATTCATTTGATCTTTACAATACGTTTAAAAACGTTTTAAAAGATCAGTTTTTTTAAAAGTAATTTTTTTTCAAATGCAATTAAAAAAAGTAACAAAAATAATTTTTAATTTTTTTTCCTAGTTTAAGTTTAGGTTAACATTTCTTTTTTCGGCATTTCTGATACGTTTAAAACATCTAAACAGTCATGGTCTATTTGTAAACACAAAAAAATCATTTGTGTGGTCAGCAAAAGCGTTCGAATGCACACCTTTTTTGTCCAAACTTTATTTTGTAAAATTTAATTCCTGTCGGCCAAAATGTCTGATTACTTTATAAATAGAGCGGACAGTCTAAGGTTTTAGCAGATGTCCGGCCGTTAAACTGAGCCCTGTGTATATATATCTATATATATATATACATATATATATATATATATATATATATATATATATATATATATATATATATATATATATATATATATGTGTATATATATATATATATATATATATATATATATACACATTGAGCTCTGTATATATATATATATAAATAAAATTTATATATATATATATACAGAGCTCAATTTAACGGTCTGCTTTGTTGGAAGCGAAGATGTTTATATATATATATATATATATATATATATATATATATATATATATATATATATATATATATATATATACACACATACAGCCCTCGGAATTAGAGTTGGCATTACTTACCTAACTCCCAAATTGAAAATGTTTGAATTCACCAAAAAATCGCTGACCATTTTGGTAACCCCTTTGTGTATATGTTTTATGGTAACCCTTTTTTTTTTGCTGACCTGATGCTGACCTCTAACAGTTTAATGCACATTTATTTTAGGCAAATAGTCTGGGTAGCAGTAACCTCCGTGCCGATGTCATAAGGATGCATTGATATATAAAAACCTTTTTCTGAGAGAAAAAAAATATTTGCTAATTTAAATAAAATAAAAAAAGTCCTCAAATTCTGAATTTTGGAAAAAAGTCCTCAATTTCTGAATCAACGCTGTTGAAAAGGGTCTAGAATAATTCCTGCTTAAGGTTATATATATATATATATATATATATATATATATATATATATATATATATATATATATATATATATATATATATATATATATATATATATATATATATATATATATATATATATATATATGAATATATATATATATATATATATATATATATATATATATTCATAACTTAATGCTAACATTTGAAAAAGCGTTTCTATAAATGTGTCAGTGTTATTCATATATCATGTTGTTAGCTTGTCAGAAAATGTTATGTCACAGATCATAAAAACTTCACATGATTTAACATGAAAAATATTTTATTATCTAATGTTTTCTGCAGGCAATATAACAGTTGCACTTGAATGGGATTGGAATGTCAACACAATCAACATTAATGTTATGCACAAACTTCATTTAATGGCAAAAGTAAGATAACAGTTGTATAAAAATGTTCATTTTTTAATTCTTTTTTGTTTAGAATTTTTATCATTAGGTATATCATTTTATTAATTTTATCATTTAAAACTTTTGTATTCATAAGTACTGCAATCATTTTATTTGGGAGATTTAAAAAAAAAAAAGTTTGTATATAATTCTAACCATAATGTAAATAAAGTGTAAATATTACCATTTTTGTAATCAAAAATAAGCTTTCAACCATCAAAGCTTCTTTTCAAAAGATTCTTTCACTCAATCATCTTAAAATTTTTATGTAAATAAAAAGAAAAGAAAAAAAAAAAAAATGAGAAAACAACAAAAAACCAAAGTTAAAAGAAAAAAACATTTGAAAATGGAAAGAAATTAAAAAGAAATTAAAAATTGCTCTGTTTTTAAAGAAAGAAAAAAGAATTTTTTTAAATTTTATTATTTTTGAGTGTTTGCTTGATATGATTTACTTTTTTATTTTAATATTGTCATTTATTATAAAAACTCTATACTTTTCGTGACTAAATGTTTGTGTGTGTGACACATTTTTATTTGTGAGTATTATTGAATAATTTTTGTTTTGTTTATTTACTGTTATTTTTTAATGAAGTATTTATTTTACTTTTATTGTTTTTATTATGATTATTGATATTAAGATTATTATTAATATTAAATCATTGTTACTTTTTTTTGCAATAATTGTTTAACATGATAGGCTGTTACATTTTGTCAGTACATAACTGTTTGTAACTTTCCTGTCTGTGCATTATATTCAATTGTTGTTTTAAAATTAATATTGGTTTATTATCCTATAATTTTCTTATTATTCTTATAACTTTTAATTTATCATCATTTTTATTATCATTATTATTTGTATTATCAATTCTATTTCACAGTATTTACTTAAGAATAGTTTTTAACAATTTGTAAATGACCTCGATTGTAAGATCTTTTATCGAAAAATATATTGATTGATTGATTTAAATTTATAAAAGTAATGTTGAAACATTAATTTTACATGCCTTAAGACATAAATATACTAACTTAAGATAGCTTAGTGTTAATTTAAACATGTGCTAACTATGTGTAGTTTAACTCATAGTCAACATGTGTTTGTCTGTGTGTTTAAAATACCTATTATAAACACACTATAAACTATTTAAAATTTGATAAGAAAACCAACATTATTGTATGTATGATTGTATGTACTTTTTAAAATTTGAACATTTTTTTACTTTTTCTTAATTAAAATTCTTGTAACTTTTTTTTTTATACAAGTGTGTATTTTTTGTGATAAATTTAAAATTACTTTTAAAATAATTTTTTCATTAAACAATGACGGTTTTAAACAACACTGATTTAAAGATCATTAAAGCTCATAGAGTGACAAATTTTATGGTTGCAAAGAAATATAGAAAATGTTTAATAGCCTGATTCTGCTAAAGTTATCATTGCTTTCATTTTTCCATGTATCCGATAATTATTACTTTCTTCCTCAAAAAAAAGTTGTTAAATGCTTTAAATTGATTTAACTTTCTACTTTTTTCCTCTTAAAATCTTTTTAATACTAAATCAACTAAAACTTTTTGTAACTTTAATACTGAATCAACTAAAACTTTTATTATATTATTTCTGTAAAAATAAATTTCTTTTTTAATAACAGATATGAAATTAAAAGTAAGAAATGCTGATTAAGCAGTCTGGCCACCACTAAATTTCTTTTAACTTTATAAAGATAAAAAAAAAGACAAATAAAGTGAATTGCATAAAAACACAAATATTTGATAAATATTTACATTAAAAGGAAAATTTTTATTTATTCATTTTACTACAAAAAATTGTTTAAATTTTTATGTTTAAAACATGTCCTTAACAAACAAGACATGTCCTTAACTGCACAGAGAACAAGTTAAGAAATTTACTACCACAGGCGTGGTGGGAATTAAAGTTGAAACTTTCTCATTTAAAAAGCAAGCTACACAACCACTGCATTGCATCAATTTTTAATAGAAAGTATTTTTTAATAGTACCATAGAAAGTTTTTAAGTTATCTTAAAACACATATTTAAATTATCTTAAAACTCATGATTATTTTATCTTAAAACACATATTTAAATTATTTTTAAACACATTTAATTTATCTTAAAACACATGATTAATTTATCTTAAAACACATGTTTAAACTATCTTAAAGCACATTTTTAAGTTATCTTAAAACACATGTTTAAGTTATTTTAAATTATCTTAAAGCACATTTTTAAGTTATTTTAAAACACATATTTAATTATCTTAAAACACATATTTAATTATCTTAAAACTGTTATCTTATCTGTTTAAGTGACTGAATCTTGATACTTAAGATACTGAATCTTGTTTTCCTACCTGCTTGAAAATTGCATTTGTGGTTCCAATTATTAAAAATGTTGAAGAACGTTTTGATGCCTCTAACTATTGTTCGATCTTCTCTCTATTATTAGCCAGATTTTTGATTCAACAAATTTTTGTCTTAAGCCTAATAACTTACTCTCTGACAATCAATACAGTTTTCTATCTTCTTGCCCTATAGCTGACTTGCTAACTGCTGTGACTGCAAAATTCTATCATGAAATACAGATGGAGATGGCAAGACGAGGGTTATTGCTCTTGACATATCTAAAGCTTTCAATAAAATCTGGCATGCTGGTCTCCCGATTTTTTCATCTTCTCCATAAACTTGTTTCATATCTGGGAAAGTTTTTAAGATAATTGTTTCTTTTTTATTGCTTTATTAAAGTCATCCTCAAAGGTTAAAGTAAATAAGGCCAAATGACCCTTTATTTTCAGTAATTTCTGGGGTACTTCAATTTTCTATCATTGGTCCTGTATTGTTTCTTATCTATCTTAATGATCTTTCTGACAATCTTACATTTAAAGTGGCCCCATTTGCTGGCGACTCAACTTTATTTTTCTGATTTGACAAAAAGTCTTTTCATTTCAATGATTTAGAATCACAACATTGTTGACATTCCTATATTAATGAATGGCAACCCTCTCACTAAGTCCTCTTCTTGGATTATCTTTACTACTGATCTCTTGTGTATATATATGCAATCATTGCTAAGGTTGCTTATATATACAATCATTGCTACCAAAAATTGCTTATTTTTACCGTGCTAACCATTATGTTGTTCATTATTCCATCCTCTAGCTCTACAAATCTCTTAGCTTCTATCACATTTTCATAAAATTTTCATTGTAATCTTAGTTGGACCAGCTTTATCTGCAAAGGTAAAGCCTCTTTCCCACCGTCGTAAAGTTGCATTTCTTTCTTTTTTCTACAAATGCTATCATGTTCACTAGTATAAGAAGCTATCATCTTTAATTGTATCAGCCAAAACTCATTTTTTCTTGACTTTCATTCTTTTTTGTTTGTAAGCTCCACTCTTTTTCTGTATCTGTCGCTTCTTGCTCCTAAAATTTTTTGATATCTAGTTTTTCCCCCTGAAACTTCAATACTTTGGAATTCTATCACTTCTTCATGTTTTACTGACACATACAACCTTCAACTTTCAAGTCTTCTGTCTACCGTTTTTTACCTCGTAAACTATATTCTTTGTTTTCTAGTAACTCCCAACGTAATAGTGGTTGTTTGCAGCCTTGTTGGGAGTGAATTTGATTAAAAAAAAAATGAAAGAAACATTCACAAAAAAGTCAAGAATGTTTTGAACTGATTTAAAATCATTGGAAGGTAATTGCAAAAGGAATATATGAAATGCTAGATGTATTGTACTGGAATACAAAAATATCAGATGTGTTCTACTTGTTTTGTATATGTATATATGTATATGTATATATATGTTTATATATATACATATATATGTATACATATATATATATATATATATATATATATATATATATATATATATATATATATATATATATATATATTCTTTTTTATTTTGTTTGGGTAGGGTGTAAGTTCTTAGCAGGGTGCTTAGAAAAAAAGATTGTACAGTTTAATTGAAATTGAGGACATTTTTCCCAAAACCAGAGATATACGATTAGGTAGGTGAGAGTTCTTGGGTGTTTACTTTGTGTTAGTATTTCTACTATTTGTAAAAGTTCTTGAAATTTCACAAACTTATTTCAGATTCTATTGGAATGCAAACAATTAAATGCCTTTATTAAGTCATTTTTTCAAAAAATAGAATTACCCAATATGCATTTTAAAGTATTATTGATACTTTTCTATGCATATTAGGTAATGTTTATGTAAAATTTTGTGTGTGTATATTTGGTAAAAGTACACTTTATATTGTTAATTATAATAACAAATAAAATGTTATTAATAAAATTCATATTTTTATTTAATTTATTTTTCTCTTAACTTTATTATCTATGGTTTCACACTTGTGTGGTCTAGACAGTTTTCTATAATACCATTTATTTATTTAAGTATGACATTATAGAAATAATCTTTACTGCTACTTTTCAATCTTTGTGTTTGCAGATTGTGTGTGTTTTTATTGTGATATAACTACTGGGAAGGTTATCAACACAGGTTTACAAGATCCTTAAACTTAAATTGGGGGTTTACATTTTTTTATTTTTCTAGCAAGGTTGCCTTTACCACATCCAAGGACCCCCAATAATTGTTTATGAAACAATTATTGGGGGTCCTCGGATTGTTAAATATATAACATTGTTCTATAAACAATGTTATATATTTAAAATATAAATGTTTTAAATATATAACATTGCTTAAAGCAATGTTATATATTTAAAACATATATTTTTATATTTCTTTATATATTCTATCTATTTTATTCATATTTACAGCTTTATTATGTTATAAAGCAATCTGGGAAGAATATTTCAGAGAAGATATTTGAGGTTGATTTTCCGTTTTTCAATTACCAGTGCACCTTTGATCTCCATACTCATGGTAAATGTTTTTTTATAAGATTTAGTAAAAATACTGAAGTATTGCAAACTGTTGTGATTGGTTATTATTACTTGTATCTAAGTTGCATTTTACTTATTACTTGTATCTAAGTTGCATTTTAGCATAGTATATTTTGTATATTTCAAAATCATTAAAAAAAAAAATTTCAATTTGATTTATAATATAACTTATTATTATTTTACATTATTTTTTTATTAAGATAAAATTAGATTTTTAAAAAAAAAAATGTCAAATCTTAAAATGGACTCCACGTTTAAGAGTCGAAGATTGCATGATGTTTCTAAACATTTTGAAACTCCAAGATTTCAGAGTTTATATAGCAATAACAATTTCTTCTTTGAAAAATTTTGAACAGGTTTAGCATAATGAAAAGGAGAAAGATCAGTCCAAAATACACATGGTTTGTGGCAATGAGATTCCTTTCTAAAGAGCATTCAATGCAATCTTCTATCATTTCTTGGGATAAAGATTTTTGATATACCTTTACACAAAAAAACCATGTACTAGATAGTACTAAATGTTTTTGTCTGTGCTTAGATTTTTTATAATAATCGAAGACTAGAACACTAGAAGGGTACTATTAAATAGTGATTGTATAAAAGTTTCCATTTGATGAGAAAATGTAAAGTAAGACTCATCATTAATAATCCAATCATGTTTTCTAAAATTTTGATAAATTTCTCCACATTTAGTCTTTGTTTTTGGTTTTTGGTTATCAGTTCAACCTGGAATCGTTACTTTCTTTCTTATTTCAATATTTGAATTTTTTTTTAATGATTCTATGAGTATATGAGGCTAAAATTCTGTATTTACTACAGCTAGTACAGCTAGTATTTACTAGCTGCTTTATGAAAGGATACTCCAAACATTAGTTTTAAGATGCCAATTTTTTTATGAGGCATTTTTATGGTTTTTCTGCCTGATCCATGGCTTTTAAAATAGCCAGATTCTTTATTTGAATTATACTGTATATAGTTGATTTTGCTATTTTCTTCTACATTTTTTTCTTTAATGTTTATATTCAAAAAAAGTTGTACACATGCTTGCAAGCACTTGTTCATACACTCCTGATCACATGCTTTGCTTTCATTTTCTAAAACAAAATAAAAAATGATTTTAATCTAAACACCAAAATAAAAAATGATCTTAAACACCAAATAAAGCATTTTATTAGTATAATTAAATTTTTATATCCAGATTGTTTTGTGTTTCCATTATGGAAGATTTCTGCAAACAATTTTTTTATCTGCAATTCTGATACACTCGGTAGTTCTCTTTCTTTTCTTCTGATAGGACCAACCAGTACCAAACACTAGAGTTAGTTCTTGAACTGCTTGTACTTGTATCAAATAATGAGCTTTATGAGACAAACACAGTGTTTTAACTTTTATCCAGTTGAATTTCTAAACTGTTGTTTCTGAACAATTACAGTAGCGGTGTTGTAGTAGAGCACTTGCCTCATAAGCAGAGGTTCTGAATTTGTTGCCCACCACATCCCTGGTAGTACCACACTTAACTTGTTCGTCAGTGTTCCTTAAGGTTTGTGTTTCAGAGTTATAGAGTTGAGAGAAGGTTGTAACCACAATTATAGTAGCCTTCTTGACTTTAGTGGCTTTCTTGGCCTTGAGGAGGTGAATTAACATTAAAAAACAACAACTGTAAAACACCAATAGCTTAATACCTGAATTATATCTTAATACCTAAATATATATATACCTTGCTACTGGTAAAATGTAATTCAGTACAACCTACCACATGTCCTGCTGTCACATAGGACATAGGAGCTTAGGGTTCTTTGTTGATTAGATAGTGTTTTTAATAAAAGTAATTCTGTGATAGATCCATCAACAACTGGTAATATCAGAATATTAACAGGCCCTTACTGCTGATAGATAGTGTTTCTATTCGTCCTTTTTGTTGTATGCATTGTCAGGCCACATAAGAAACTCTTTGCTTTTACTCTAAGTTGATCAGCAGTAATGAGGTAACTATGTTGTTGGTTGCCAAGTATATAGTTTGTTGGTTGCCAAGTACTTCTCTGTTTGAGTTGAGTCGTCTTTAAAAATAAATAAGTACCAGAAAATATTTAACAAAAAATTTCTTAATAACCAAATTGTAGTTTTTGAAAATGTAAAAAGATTTTCTGTTTCTAATATACAAACAACATTTATTTTTAGAATTATTACCACCAACCATTTGCAACAAAACCCTTAAAGTTGGCCAGTATGCATATGCATGTTTGATATCAAAAGAATTGGTTTCTTATGAATATCAACCAAAAAATGGTCTCTACTTAATTATGTTTGATTCTTGCACAGTACCTTACTCTGTCACAATTCTAGTAATTTATCAAAACACAAAAGAATTGTTTACGAAGATTTTTACTCAAGATAAAACTGATGCTCCATTTAGTCCATCTCTTGAAGGGTGTGGGCTGAAATTTAAAATGAATGATAATTATATGGATTTTTACACTACAACTTTAAAGTTTGTTTGTACAAATGGTACGGAAGTAACTCTAATTGAATGTGGTTTTCAAACAGAGCTTTCTCTAAATTGTCCTTTAACGAGTTGTACCAATCAAGATTATACAAATATATGTCAAGACAAATGGATATTTGGAGAGAATCAGCAGGTATCAGCCTTTATGAATGTCACTATTGATATGTGTGAAGATCTTCCTCAAGTTACTCTAAATATGTATGTTGTTAGTTCTAAAATGTATAGCTATCCATTTTCTCAAGTTCTATACGCAAACCTGGATGAATATGAAAGAAGTCATTCTCCTCCTTTCTATCTTGGCCTCCCGATAGATAAAAAATTATCAACAAACAATGGTTACTTAAGTTTAGATGGAGGAAACATAAGTTTGCATTTTCGAGAAAGTACAAATTCAATATTTGTTTTCGTATGTATTTTTCAAATATTAGTTTTGCTTTTATTAGTTAATAACTTATAATTAATATTTTTATAATTGTTTTTAACAATTCGGTTGATTGACAGTTTTAATAATTGTTATAGTTTGATTGGCAGATCATAATAATATTATTTTTTGATTGATAGAGTTTATAATTCATAATTCTTGGTTGAGAAAACACCGAATAAAACATAAGTAATGAGAAAAAAGATTCTATTCAAGAATGTAACAAACTCAACATGAGCTGCAACAGACTTATATAAGATAACAAATGATAATGTATGATTAGTTTGAAAACACACGAGTTAAAGACTTACGAGTGTAAACACAGATTAAAATAGATTGTAATTCAAGAGGTTTTTAATTATATAATAGGTTTTTTAAAACATGTAATGTGAATCATTAAAAGAAATTCGCTTCCAGGTTCCGAATAACCGCTATTTAATTTGGAAGGTTAAGAAGAGAGTTTAAGAAAAAAAAGACGGTTGACAAAAGACTTAAAAAATTGATTCGAATGAAAAAGCTGTTCGAGTTAATAAACATGAAGGCAGGAAAGAATTTCGAAGCATTAATGTTAGTTGTAATAAACTAAACGAACAAACGTTTTTTGAGTATGAATGAACAGTTACAGTAAAAGAATACGGCTCGGTAAAATGGTGAGACAGTATTGCATTTTGGTTTATGGGACAGATGAAAACTTGCTTAAGCAGCATAATAGAGTTTTAGAAAAGAGGATGAGATGACAATAAGTAAAAAACTCAGACTAAAACAGCCAAAGTAGGTCTTGTTTAAAAGAGAATTAGATTACCCTGCCTAAATATGACAACAGATGGTTTATAGAAGTTGAGAATGGATTCAAAAGTAAAAAAATAGCGAGACAATTTTAACAGCTGTTAGCATTTAAATGGTTTTTTTTCTATGAGAGGTCAGTAGTGAAAGGTAATTTACTAAAACGTAAAGTAGAGGACTGGTCATGAGTGGTTGCCATTCATCAATAAAGGTTTATCTACATATAGTATAGGTGATTAAGAAAAAATCGGTTTTGGTGACATTTAATAATCCTACACATCTGTATAGGATTATCACCTATCACTGCTAGTCCCAAACTGTCATAATATCATATTCAAGATCAGTTACCTGTTCTAAGCGATCAAAAAGTAAATACATCTTGTCATTAAAGGAGTATAAAATTGTGTTTTCAGCAGAGATAAGTTTCAAGCAAATAGACATTAAAATAAGTATAAAGTTGTATTATCTGCAAATAGTTTGTCAGTAAAATTATTAATGCAGATGAGAAACAACACAGGGTCAAGAATTGAACCTTGTTTTATCTCAGGCAAACAACGTAGAGTGTTGATGTAGGAATGACTTTAATACCGTGATTAGATGTAAGGTGTGCTTTTGGAGAAGGCATTAAAAATTACGGAGATAATAAATAGATGTGCATAAAAGCAGATTCTATTGAATACTTTGATAATGATTTTTTAAGAAATCGGTTCTTGATTTGTTATTTAACTGAGCAACTCGGATTCTTGATAAAAGTGTTTAATTAATAGTTGCATACTTGTTTTTTAAAATTGTTTTTGTTTTTGTTCGTGGATTGATACCTCAAGTTTAAAACGTTATAGTTAATAGTTATTGCTTATTACTTTTTTTGTTTGTTTAACAGTTAATATTTTTAATTTTGTTAAATTAATTTAGAAACTTTTTGCTTAAATCTCAATAAATTTTTTTATATTCTCTTAGAAAAATTAAAAATAAACAAATTGGTAGTTCTCATTAATTAGGTATAGGATCATTCAAATTTTCAGATATTGCGTCATTTCCCAAGACCTTATGACGGAATTCCTTTGCTTCGTACAGATTTTGAATTAAACAGAACAAAAAGTTGTAGGTTTTTATTATAATAGAAATAATGATTCGTTTTTTGTTCTTAATAATATAAAATGCAGAGCAAAATTTTTAAGACAATTCCCTTTTTAAAATCTTTTCAGGTTTGTGTAAAACGTCAAAAAATAAAAACAGTGGTTCGATGGAAGTTGCACTTGCTGTCCTGGTTTTCATCACGTTTTTATTATTTTTTTTCGCTTTAATTGCTTTTTGGAGAAAGCGTAGTCGGCGTAAAAAGTTAGGGCTGCCTCATTTAATAATAACAGAAGAAACACCGGAAGAAATGGATGATCAAAGCATGTAGTAATTTTTTTTTTGATTGATTTGATTTGTGTATAACGTGTGTATATATGTGTGTATGGGGGTGGGGGGTGGGTAGCATACTATGAATTTTTTATATAGGATAGAAGGGGGTTGTTTTTTAAAGAAAATAAGATAAATATTCTACTTGGTTGTCATAATAACATTTATTTTATACATTTAAACTTGTTTGAAACACAGATTGATTTAGATCTATTTATAGTTATTTATAATATTCAAATGGATTATTTGAAGGTACGAAACAGTTAACAAACAATTTACTTTGTATATGTGTAGCTTGTTTGTAAATTACATTCTTTCCCTTTTCAACAATTTCAACGTAAATGGTTTAAATTGTTAGTTGTCTTTTTAATGTTACAGTTTGCATACGTCAGTTGTGCACCTTTGTAACTTCTCTGTGATGAAAAAAAGGTGAGATAATGGGTGAAAAAAGCGGTACAAAGTTATAATATCTATTATAAGTCCAACTTTTTTTAAGAGTTTGTTAAGAAAAAAAACATTTTTCTTTCTTGTGCGTCCCATTCACTGCAAAACTCTGATCTGAACTGCTCCATTCACTGCAAAACTGCTCCATATAAAAGTATATTTCTAAAATAATCTGCTCATTTGCTGCATTTTTTTCTGACCTTTTTTTTTCTATATCCCTATTAAATTTGCATTATTTGATATTTAACGAAGCTCTGCAACATCCTTCAGTATCCGCTCTCTTTTCGAAGAGGTATTAGAATTATTAATATACTTTGGTATACCTCCAAAATATTAATAATGATTAGAATTGTTTTGGGTGATTCTTTTAAATTGTAGCTGGTAATAAGTTTTTTTAAGTTTGTATGTTTGTAACATGCAAACTTTAAAAAGATTTTGCCATTGTAACACTGGCTACATTAGTTACTTTAACTTCGCTTTTCATATAGAATTTTATCAAACTTTTGCTAATCTATACTTTTACCAGTTATTCTATCAGGATTCAGTAAGTTATGAAATACTCAGTAAGTTATGAAATACTCAGTAAGTTATGAAATACTCTAATGTATGTATATCGAGACCTGAGAATAACTCAATCGTACATACACAAATTTTTTTCATGTTAAATGTTGATCTAGTCTTATTTTTAAAAAGAAATGTTTTAAGAATTTTAGAAGTCCGGCTATATACACTTGTAAACTAATCCTTAAATAACAGTATGATCTATTTCACATCTGGTAAATCATTTATTTATTTATACAATGATGTGATGAAAATATAATTCTTAAAAAGTCTGGTATAATAACCGATATCGATTTTCTGTTGAAATAATTGTCTTAGCCATTTTTAAATTTAGTTAAAATTGACTCGGTCTACAACTTTAAATATATTCAAAACTCCGAGTCTGAAAAATATCATTGTTTTCAATGTAGCACGAAGCATTTGAAAGTGGCGTACAGTCATGTTATTCTTAAGTTTCATATACACACAATAATATCGTTATTTATGTGTGCGTGTGTATATATGTGTATTAATAATGTTTGTATTTTAATAACGAAAAATTAATGATAAGAAATTATTTATATTTAAATATTTTTAACACAAAAATGTTTTAAAATTAGAAAAAAAAAATTTTTAAGTTTTTTTAAGCTGACTTTATTTTCAGAAGGATTTATTATTCAATACATATAAGTATACTGTATTTTTATATATATTTATTTGGTTTTTTCAGCATATTTTTATATCTTATTTTTTTAATAATTTTTTAGTATTTTTTGATTGCAGTTTTTATATACGATAAAAAAATTTGTTATATGAAATATAAGTTTTTTAAGAGTGGTTTTTGCGTTATTATTAAAAGATCTTTTTTTTCGTTCATTTATATTATATTATTTTTTTAAACCTAAGTTTAACGGAAAAAGAGTTCATTTGGTTGTGATTTCATTTGTATATATTTATTTATGTGTTTTATTCATCCACTGTGCCTAAACGCGCATTTCCCTTTGCGAAAACCAGCATATAAAAAAGAATTCTTATATAAAAAAAAGTCCCTTGATACAATACATCTATTCATGTAATTCATCTCTTATGCGTCACCTTAATATTTTCAATTATTTAATAGCTATTATATTACTAATTGATCATTTGTTGCAATAATTTCACTAATAAGTTCCAAAGCAAATCATTTTTTATTTACTAATTCTTAGACTATTGAACTGTTTAGCGTTGACACAATTGCTATATCAACTATTTAGAACTATTTAGAATTTTCCTATTAGCATATTTCTTCTTTATGGCGTGTTACCTAAAACCAAAATATTTGGTAACTTTGCCAATGCCAGTTTTTTTTTTGTTATCTAGTTTTTCCTCAGGAGTATATTAGTTTTAGTACTCCCTAAAGTTTGTTTTTGGTGACATACAGTTGCTTATAAAACAATATAACCAAGAGAGCGCTCTTCTTAGTTAAGTCTAACCTGAAAATTTCTTAATTTTGAACAGCAAAACTCTATCTTTTAGAAGCAACATCGTTGAATTTTTCTTACTCTTCCTTGCTTCTACATTGTTATTGATGTGTATCCATAGCTTTCTTTTTTGAGCATTTCTTTTGATCTTGCGCATTAGATGATGGTACCTTCCATCGACTAGTGCGTTCTTTGAGTTTGAATATTGCTAGTCCTCTTGCTATATCATAGAAAATTTTTTTTTTTTTGTTTGTGCATATCTTTACTGAGGTTTGTTTCTGTATAAATTTTTCGAATACTATTTGTTAAAAACTGCTTGAATCTGCTCTTTGGTCTGAATCATCATGCTGTGCGTCCAAGTATTACTTTTTTAATGGCAACTTTATAGGTTTCTAAAACACTGTGACTTAATCTCAATTTTAACACTGCACCAAGAAGTTTTGGGTTGTGGGATATTTATTGCTGATAGAAGTGCCACTTTTGACCTGGCTGCTATAAGCTAGATAGAACTTTTATCGATTTCGTATCGATATCTAACGCAAAATACGTTACCGTATGCAATTCTTTACGCATATGTAAATGTGTGTAACAAGAATTCCACTAAATCTTAATTTCACTGTTGAACTCATCTTGATATTTTTACGTCTTGTAAACCTATCAATTTTTGAAACTATTTTTTTTCGTTTTCATAACCTGATGGTTTATTTGAATAACTGAAAGTGACATAAAAATTAACTTTAACTATATATTATTTTTATTAAGATATAAATATTAATCTTACCGTGTTTTCAAAATTGCTAGAAAGAATAATGTATAACAGGCTATTTAATCATTTATCAAAAAACGATATATTGTATTCAAAACAGCTTGATTTCAACAAAAAAAAAGTGGTTGAAATAGTCAATCAAATAACAAACGCATTAATATCATTAAACATTTCATTAGGAGTTTTTATTGATCTTTCAAAGACCTTTGATACTGTAAACCACAATATACTAAAAAAACTAGAATAATATAGAGTAAAAAATAATAACTTACTTTGGTTCAAAAGTTATTTGACCAATAGAAAGCAATTTATGTAATATGACCAAAAACAAACAATTCCATATGCTGTAACTTGTAAAGTTTCCCAGGGCTCTATTTTGGAACCCTTATTATTTTTAATATAAATGATTTAAATATAGCAATAGACTTCCTAAATAAGTATTCTTTTTGCAGATGGTTGTAATCTTTTTTATTTCAACAGAGATATTAAAACACTTTTTGAAACAGCTAACAAGTTGGGTAAAGTTAATGAGTGGTTTATCAGTAATACTCTCTCATAATGTGGATAAAACCAAATTTATTTTATTCCATGAAGTAAATAAATTAGAAAATATTTACATTAAATTGCTAATAACGCTATCATTAAAAGAAAGACTTCAATAAACGTTTTGAACGTAATATTAAGTGAACATTTAAGAGTGAACATATAAAATGGTATCGAGAATATAATTGTACAGTAAACAAAAACACGCGCGCAGAATATTATTTTGAGCTGATAAAACTGTACCAAGAGAGCCTCTTCTGCGTATACTTGTTGCATATCCAGGGGCGCATCCAAGATTTTTCGGTATTTGAGTTATAACTTCCAGGTAAGTTCTAAACTCTAAACTTTTGCATTTTTATACTTTAGTCATTTAAGGATGATTTGCCAAAAATTGCGCTGATTAGTGCCTGGGGACAAAAAAACCCTAAAAAAAAGGCATTACCCGCCCAAATGAGGGGAATCGGTTTTTTTAAATATAAGTTCTAATATCCTAAATTTGGTGGTAATATCGTTAAGGTTCTAAATTTTTTTTGAAAAAAATTATGTTGTTTAGAAATTATACCCAGTTTAAATTTACAACCCCCTCGTCTCGAGGGGTTTCTAAACTTTAAATGGTTATAACCTTTGAACGCTAGATGATTTTTTGATCAAACTTAATTATAGATACACATTTGAATTTTATTAAAGGAAGTAACTTTTTTTTTCAAAAAATAACTTCCCCTCCCATTTGGGCGGGTGATGCCTACTATTTAGGTACTTTTGTTCCGAGGCTCTAATCAACGTTAAATCAAAGATAAGACTATATCCTAAAATACTTCAGTCCTACTTTGACAAAGTAGTTCATAAATACCCAACAAAATTTTTAGATAACAAATACAATATCCCTAAGTATAATTAAATAATTTGTATAATTTTAAAAAAAATTACATATTTAATTCAATATCAAATTACATATTTAATTAAATACCTTATTTAGGGAAAAAGTTTCCTAAGATTGCAAATACAGAAAAAGTTAGTATACAACAGTTTTAAAAATACGGAAAGAGTTAGGATACAACAGTTTCAAAATGAATCAAAACAGGTGTTATTACTTATCGATTTTAACATATCCAATTACCCGCTATGTTAAAATCAATAAGTAATATTTTTGCTTAGTTGAATAGCTTTTTTCACTTCTTTTAGGGTCACAATATCATCGTTCAATTTATATGTTTGTGATGCTAAAAAAAAAGAAACTATTTGTAACTAATTCGAAAAAACAAAACAAAACAAAAAAAAAAAATAAAAACAGTAAAATAAGATTAGATCTAAACTAACTTTTAAAATTCCTGAACTTTAATAAATTAACAATAAAAATTAATAAAAGTAGTTTTATGCACATTTGAAAAAATTTATGAAAAAAATATATAATAATATCATATCAAATATAATATGAAATAATAATAACTATCACCATCAACACACAATTATAATAAAAAAAAAAGATTTTGTTTGTATATATGCCTATTGTTAATTAAAAAATAATATTGCTAATTAAAAAATAATATTGTTAATTAAAAAATAATATTGTTAATTAAAAAATATGTATGAGAGATTAGCAGTTGGATAAGAAAAATTGTTATTAATTGCTAACTCTAGTAATTGTTAATAAATTTTGCTAATTGTGTATTTTGTAAATTTAGCATTGCCGGATCAAGGAGGGGGGGGGCTAGGGGGGACTATAGCTCCGGGCCCCGCAAATTTAGGGGCTCCCAAAATTATAGAGGACTTTTTTTTTATTTTTTTTAGTCATTTTTAGGTTCTGGCCCATAAAAATGGCCTCCAAAAACAAAAATAGCCCCGGGCCCCAAGAAGTCTTAATCCGCCACTGAAATTTAGTAAGGAATAACTAACCTTTTGTTGCATTAAGTTTATAAAAGACATTTAGACTTTGCTGCAAATTATCTAAATGTAATTATTTAAAAATAAAATGATTGATTGAAGGTACGTATGGTGTCGTTTTGATTTATGGTTCGCCAATTCAGAGTAAGTCTTTGCCACATCTTTAAAAATAAAACACGCTAAATAAACAGAACTGTAAGTGTACTGTACCAAGTGTTTCAATCTGTTTGAGCTGCCATTTCTACAATCTCACTGTTTCAATATTTTTGTTCCACGAATAAATAAAATTCATTGAAGAATGACACAATAATGATGACTAAGCTTTAGTCAAAGGATTAAGACTATAACTTTTGAACTGAATGATATTATATGCTTTATTTTAATTATATGCTTTTAACATTTACTTATAGTATTATTTATACTAAAAGTAAATGTCACAAGCATATATGATTCAGACTTAGAATATGTTGAATTTATACTATTATTAATAATTATTAAATATACAATAATTAAAAACTAAGTATATAATAATTTAAATTTTTTTTGAATCAGGAAAATTTTTAGTCGAATAAAAAAGTTGTCATTAAATTGTGCTATAGAAAAATATTGACAGAAATGTTATGCAAAATTTAAAATAAATACTAGCTAACTTTTCTTTAATACTTTATCTTGAATTAAAATTTTCCAGGTTAAAAAAGTTTAATTTAAAATTTTTTAACAAAACTACACTTTCTATCAATTTTTAAATTTTTACGCATCGATTAATAACATAACACCGATTTTAAAAATCCATAATGGTTTCTGAGTCATCTTTTTGGTTTACAACTAACTCACAAACTCTTACATAGCCTTCATCCATGATAAATCATATATCTGAAAATTCCCGCATGGATTCCTAATATATAAATCTACAATTCCAGTTTGCAACATATACCTTCTTTTAAGTGATGCCGCAAATATATTTGTATTTTGTAAAAAAACAGACATTTTGATAGTTATTTTGCTTGAAACTACTATTTACCTCTAATTTAGACATATAATTATAAATTTGAGTTAGAGATCAACTAGAACTTAAAAATTTTGGCATTTAAAAAAAAAAGCATTGAATGCTTTTTTTAAAAAATGCCAAAATTTATCAAAATTTGCCAAATATTTGGTAAAAGGGGTCGTCCATAAATTACGTCACGTATAAGGGGGAGGGGGTTGGTAGTTTTGTGACAACTCTTACAAAACTTGCTTCTTAAGTGTTACGATTTTGTGACGAGGGGGAGGAGGGAGGTCAAAATCTGTCAAAAAAGGCGTGACGTAATTTATGGACGATCCCAAAAAACAGTTAAAAATAACCGCCGTTGAAAGATATTTGCTTTGGGGTGACAAAATATCATTCATTTTACACTACTATTATTAATAATTAACAATTTATTAATTGTACAAAAAACAAGTTACTTTTTAGTTAAACGTTTTTAAATAAACAGCGCATATAATACATTAAGTTTTATTTATAGCCATGATACCGTATACCAGTTCCTGGAAATGGTCCGGTAATCTTTTCTTTTGCTTGGCGGCACCTTCTAATGAAAGAGACAAAAAAAATATTAACATCGTTTGTATATGACGTCATTAAATTGAAATTTTACTCTCCCCAGGCTTTAGAAAATCTTTGCACCGATTTACGACATAGGTTTCTTTGAAATCTTCTTTGAGATTTAACGGGTTGTTTAAATAAGAACCTAAACTTTTAAATAAACTTATAGATTACAAAGGTGTTTATAATTTAAAACATCATTGAAATTATTGTTTCGAATACAGTTATGAGTCATGTCGTACAAAATGATGTTCATGGTCTAGGGCAACGAGTATGTATATTGTTAAGTATATAATATTATGGTAATTACAAAATTATTTTGTAGACACTAAGAATCATTTATTATTGCTATTATTATTATTTTTACTATTATGATTACTACAATTATATACATTATAGTATATAATCGATTCCACAATTTAATTTTGTATCACAACTGTTAAATGAAGTTAGTATTGAAACTAATAGGCATTATATCTGATGCTGGCTAACTAGTTGAAATTAGAATTTTTATTTTTAACAATATATTACTTTTAACAATATATTTTTGTTATCACATACTGTTTTTATTTTTTAACAATATATTTTTGTTACAATATACTGTTTTTGTATTACTATTTGTAACTTATATTACAGAAAAGCAAGGTATTTGTAGCTTTCTGAAAATTTCTATTTCTGTCTCGGGGCATATTTCAATAGTTAGACATTAAACTAAACTGTTTGACTAATTTTAGATTCCTATATTATCAAGTATTAGATTATATTATATTAGAATCTTATATTAATCAAGTTACAAGTTTGTCTAACATTTTGACAGTCAAAATGTATAATCACGATGTCATTTTACATTTTAATAATCAATATGAATAATGACTTTGTGACTCTAGACACTGAAAAACTTAGTTTAAACAATGTCTGTTTTGAGGCAAGGTAGCTCAGGTATAGTGCTGCTCAATTATTTAATTTCTATTAGATGATCCTAGCACTCATTTTATCAGGTACACATTTGCTATATAATAAATTATTCAAATTATTGAAAATGCCAGTAATGTCAAAGTACCTAAAGAGTATAAGAATATCGAAGTTGGAAATAATTTGAAGCAACTTTTTAGGGGAAAATATTTTCAGCTAATTAAAATGCTATATAGTAAAACACTTTTTGAAAAACAAAGGATCTATCCCAACAAGGATGCAAGCAACGACCTTTTTTTTTTTCTTTTAAGTAATTGCGGTTCTCCAAATAAACATAATAGTCTTACCACAGAGCACCATGGAAGAACATTTAACCAGGCAGTTCGTGCATGATTTTTTATCAATGTTAGTTATTTGACCAGACCTCTGTGTCATGACTGCTTTGTAAGAGTAAAAAGTTGTTGACAAAAGACTTGACAATCTGTCAAAATATGTATGAGTTAGGAAGATATACACATAGGAAGAATTTCAAAGCATTGATAATCTGAGAAAACATAAAATAAAGGCCTCAATAATATTGTTGCAACTTATCAATATGTCACAAACAAGAGATCAGCTGCCTGTTTTAAGCAATCAAAAAGTGACGTCTTTCTTTCAAAAGTTGAAAGAAAATGTCAATAACAAAAATAATAAGACAGGACTAAGTATGAAGCTTTATAGTACCTTAGAAATTACTGGAAATCAAGGAGAGTGTTGTCCACTTCAACCTATTTTTTTATTGTAAATTTATGAATAGTATTTATTATTTTATGTGTAAGTGTTTTATGAACTTTTAATATGCTTTAGTTTTTGCAGTTTAGTTGTTTTTAGATGAGTTTATATATATTAGTTTTTTATAATAATAGTATTACATTCATAAATGTATTTGTGAATGTAATACTATTATTATAAAAAAATATTTAAATTTTGTTCTTGTTCTATGGCTGGTTTGCTAACAGTGATAATCGATAGGTTTTATCATGCATTAGATAAAGGTGGAGAGGTTAAGGCCATCGCTCTTGACATTTTTAAAGCGTTTGATAAAGTTTGGCATGCTGGTCTTCTCCATAAGCTTTCTTCTTACAATGTATCTGGTAACATCTTTAAGATTATTGAATCCTTCGTTTCCAATCCTAGTATAAAAGTTGCCCTTGATGGACAACACTTTTCTTATTCTGTAACCTCAGGGGTTCCTCGAGGTTCAATCCTTGGCTCTATACTCTTTTTAATTTACATTAACGATATTCTCACATCTACGGTGGCATTTTTCGCTGATGATACTACCATTTATTCTTATCATGATAAGAAGCCATTTCTCTCTGATTGCTTGGATAGGGCATTTGAGCTTGAAAAGGATCTCACTTCTGCTACAGCTTGGGGTCACAGTGGCTGGTAAACTTAAATTCAGATAAAACTAATAATTTAAAGTTTTTTTTTATAAATTATAAAATAAAGCAATAATTTAGATCTTCCTATATTTATGAACGGTATTTATGTACTTGATGAGTCATCTACCCTTCATCTTCTAGGATTAACTCTTACTTCTAATCTTTCTTGGAAACCATATATTAAATCTGTTGCAAAATTAGCATCTGCTAAGGTTGCATCTCTTTATTGAGCTCGACACTTTCTTACTCTAGATTCTATTCTCTATCTCTATAAATCTCAAATCCGATCTTGTATGGAATACTGTTGCCATATCTGGCGGGTTTTCTTCATCAGTTCTTTGGAATTCTCTTCCTCTTGCTTTCCTAATTCATATAATTTACAATCTTTTAAGTCGTCTGTCAATCGTTATCTTACTCTACAATCTTCATCTTTTCTCTTCCAGTAGCTTTCAACACTAATTAGTGGTTGCTTGCAGCCTTGTTGGAAGCGAAGATGTTTAAAAAAAAAATACTATTTATTTATTCTTGATCTCAGAAATAGGAAATAACCTAAACCTTATAACTTAAAAATAAAATAAAAAAAAATAAAATTTTTGTTGACAAAATAATTTTGCAGATATTTTAAAATCATTTTTTCTTATTTTTTATTTTTGTAAAAAATCTTATAATTTAAGTAAAGAATGATAGAATAGAAATAGTTACCAACCCACAACAAAATTACAAATAGATCAAGTTGTCAGGTTTTGCCATCATTAAAAATAGATCTACCGATATCTTAGATCAAATTTATAATTATATTATCCATGTTTATAATTATATTACCCAAATTTATGATTATATTATCCATGTTAAATTTTTAGAAGAAAAAAAGTGTATTGGTTTAAAGTTAGGAATAATGCTAAGGAAAGTAATTTTTTTTTCAATTTTAGGTTGCTGGTCTGGACTTGAACAAGCAAAGCAATCAACAAGGTATTTTGTTAAACAATATTTTGTATAGAATTTAGGGAGTCCCAAAAGAACTCTGGCTTTATAACTTTATTTTTTTTAGTCTCTGGTGTCCAGAAGCTCTAAACATGTTAATTGATTAATGATCTAGTATAAGAAAAAAATTTATGATATTTAATGACTTGGAACTTATTGCCTTTAAGCCTGGAGTCCCAGAGTCCTTGCCACCATTGTACCTAAGGACTTCAGGTTCAAAACTTGATTGTTCTTCAGACCTATAAGTCTTGATTTTTTTCCACATTAGTAATCCATAAGCTTCTTTATATTTTTTAAGCTCCTGGATACCAAAAACTAAAAAGGATTAATCTTTTTGTGACTTTTAAATCTGTAGTGCTTTTTAGGACTCCGCATCGCTGACTTGCTTAAACAACTATAGACTAACAGAAAATGAACCAGTAATCATGTCCAATTACCTCCAGTATTTATTTATATATATATATATATATATATATACATACATACATACATACATACATACATACATACATACATTCGTCAATGCTGATCCAACTGCCAACCTAGACGTGTTTGAGGGCGGCAAAAAATTGCCCTCCTATGTTTTACGCAGGGATTATCTTTTTCTCAATATTTCCAGGATTCCGGATATTTTTATCAACATTTTGTTTTTCCGGATATCTAAAATGTTTACTATACACACAAATTTAGGTGCATATTTGTGCAATATGTTTTTTGTTTTTTTTTTGCTTTTTCATTCATCACTCATACAAAAATTTGAATGTTTGAAAAAAAAATTGGACATTTTTGAATTTTTCTAGATATTTTACCCAAACAATTTTCCAGTTTTTTCAAAATATGACCTTGACGATATATGTTTATGGTGAAACCTTTGTATTGATTTTTTTTTTTTTTTTGCTGACCTTATGCCGACCTCTAACAGCTTAAGGTCGACAAGTTATTACTGGCCTCAATTTTCCTATTTCCAATATGTATGGGTTGTATATATATAATATTATGTGTGTGCTAGCCTTCCAAGGAAACGTGTGTGGTTTTTGTCTTGTATGTCCACACATATTTTATTTTAGACAACTCGGTGTTGTTATTTTCAGCGTCAAAATTCGATAATTCAAAGCAAAAAAAAAACAGTTTTGCACATTAAAAAGGATGATTTACCTTTATTTTTTTTATTTTGTTTTTAAAGAGGAAAGTGAAAATATAAGTTGCCATTTGTTTGTAAAACGTATTTGTATAATTTTAATGTAACAAGTATATATTGTCCCTATAAGAAAATGTCAGCCTATACTTTTTAAGCATGCATATGTATAACTTTTTGTAATTATATGAGTATAATTATTTGCTCCTAAATGTACGCATGTTTAGCTTATTTGGATAAAGCGTAAACTTTATACACGTAATATCTGTGGTTTGACAACTGTCTTTTTTTTTTTTGTTTTTTTTTGTTTTAAATACCGCTGATCATGTTTGCTTTGTAACCATTTATCTGACTGATGCACATCTCATTGCATCTTATACCATTTAAGCCTTTCAGTGTACACGCATATTTATAAATAGTTTCTAAGCTTCAATTAGGTCACGTCTACACATGTTGTGTTGTTCACGTTGAATGTTTCATATTATCTTTCTTTTCCTTTAAGTTTTTTATCCCTAATCTTTTAGCGAAGACGCATTTATTTTTAACATTCAGCTGTATGCGTGTGTAAAAAACAAAAAAAAATTTGGAAGAGGTGGGTCTTGAACCACGGCCATTCCATTTACAAAGTTAATGCCTTATCCAAATAAGCTAAACTTGCGTATAAATAGGAACAAATAAATATATTTATATTATATAAAAAAGTTATGCGTAAAAATATATGCATGCATTACATAGACGTTTTCATATGGGGACAATATATATTTGTTACACTAAAAATATACAAATATATTTTACAAACACATTGCAATTTATATTTTTGCTTTTTTCTTTAAAAATGAAATAAAGAGAAATAATTATTTTTTATGTAAACTTTAATCTTTTTTTTTTAATATTAATCTAATTTTGTTACTGAAAATAATAATCACTCTAAAGAAACAAATTAAAACAGTACAAAAATTTAAATTATTAATTTATTATTATATTTTTTTTATTTCCTATTTTGTTAGGTTAGCTTTTTTTTTGTTTTTGAAACTTTGTTTTTTCCGCAATGACTAACATTTAAAAACTTGCAAGCGGTCGCGACCAAGTTGTCTAAAATAAAATACTCACATGTGATCATACAAGACAAAAAACCGCACGCCTTTCCTGGAAAGACTTGGTGTGTGTGTGTGTGTGTATACTAGACCTTGTAATAAAGCATAAGACCATTTTACATTGGTGAAGAGTTTTTTATGCTACACTACTCTATTTAAGTTTTAATACAAGGTAAACAAAGAAAATGTAAAAAATTGAAATAATCTAATAACCATGTGAATATTTATTTAGATTAGTTAAGTTACTTTTTTATATTATATTTTTTCAGATATTGACAATCAGCAATAAAAAAGTTACCTTTTTAAAAATGAAGTTATAAATTTGTAAAGGCTTTTATTTCAACTCTTTTTTTTTTACTAAAAATGAAATTCAAAAATTGTTTTCGGGTGTTTATTGATTGTTTATTGTTATTTTTTATACATGTTTTTATTTTTTATTGTTTTGTCTACATTTCTTGCTTAAATCAAGTGTTACTTTATATGATATTAATTTTGATAACTAACTATATATATTTCATTTAAAGGTTCGCGTTACATACCACCTCATCTTCGTGGTCAACAACAAGTTGGTCCAGCAGGTCCTCAAAAAAATATTATTCCTCAATATTTTGAAAACCCTTCCCGAGGTAATTTTGAATTAATAATTGCAAATGACTGTCTTAACTTTTTATGCTTTTTATATTGTATTTAGTTCATAGGTTTTATTAGTGCAACAAATTGTGTACCTGTTTTTATGTACTATTCAATGTGATGGTTTGTAAAGACAGATATGACTAAAAAAAAATAAAGTTGTAAATATAAAGTGTATATATGTATATATATATATATATATATATATATATATATTATATATATATATATATATATATATATATATATATATATATATATACAGAGTACTATTAGACATTATATAACTTAGAGTACTATTTAAGACATTATATAACTAATTGGAGCAGGTTTTTTGAAATCATTATTATTTTTTGTTTGTTTTTTAATTTTGCTAACTCCGGGAAAAGGGTGCACATTCAGTTTTTTCAAATAAGACACATTGAAAGTTTGATAAAATGCCTAACAAAGCTAAAAATCATGAAGAAAACCGAAAATGTGTTTGTTTCCTATGTTTGAAGAAGGCAAATCGAGAAATCACAAGTTTTTTAGTAGAGAAAATTCGCACAGTCCTCAAAATTGAGCTTGATTTTTCAAACTTTCAAATCCCTTGTGGAATTTGTAAAAGATGTCGTGTGGCTATTCGCAGACGAGAAGAAGGGGAGGATGCACCTATCCCAAGGCTCTTTGATTTCAGCACCATCTCAGTTCAGCGTGCTGCAACAAATATTCCTTGTAATTGTTTGATTTGTCAAACTGCAAGGACAAATATGAATCAGCGTCATCCTTTGAAACCACCGAAACCTAAAGAAAATTCAAGCATTGAAAAAAGGTGCTCTGATTGCTTCTCTGTGATTGGTCGTGGATTGCCTCACAATTGCACAACAGGAACATTAAGGCAAAATTTAGTGGAAGTTGCTTCGAGGGATCGCATTGCGGCAGAGAGGGTAGCATCATTAACAATTGCTAATAAAACTCCATCACCTCATGGCACTGTTCGGCTAAGTCAACCACTTGGAGGAAATTGTTTTCCCGTTGTTCCAGGTAAAGCAATATAGATTTAAGCATAAACCACTTATAAATTTCTTTTAAAATGTAAATGTAGAAAATTTTAACCTCGGCCATTAAATGTTCTTTAGGACCATCAAGTGCAAGAGAATTGTTTCCTGCTGTGCCCAAGCTCACAGCACAAGACATGGTTGGAGTCCAAATTGGAACTAGATTGTCAAATCGTGGCATGTCCAAATTGGCATCATCTTTGAACCAAGCTACACCTCTCCGGATTGTAGAAAAAAATTTCAGAGAAAAATTCAACAGTTTCGGGAAATCTCTTTCTGAGCATTTTGAGACCAAGGCCATACGAGATTCTACAAAGAATGATGACCAGCACCCTTCACGACTGCTTGTTTTTTGCCCAGATGTAGCAAGTCTTGCAAATCACGTCATCAAAGTAAGGAATGTTTCAGGAGATCCGCTGATGAAGATTGGCATTGATGGAGATGGTGGGTTTTTGAAAGTATCTCTTGGAATCATTGCCAGAAACACAGATTCAAATTCTCCACCACCAAAACGAGGGCTTAAAGACACAGGAGTCAAACAGCAACTTCTGGTGGCAATTTCAGAAGATCTGCCAGAGATTTATGACAACTTGAAAAGCATAATTTCTTCTCTTCAACTTCACAAACTTTCCTACATAATCTCTTGTGACATGAAAGTCGCCAATCTTGTTTGTGGTCTTCAGTCCCATGCAAGTGCACATCCTTGTTCATGGTGTGATGCAGAATCAAAAGATTTGAGTCGCTCTGGAAGTCTCAGAACACTTGGTTCAATTCGAGAAAACTTTCTGCAGTTTCAAAGCAGTGGTGCCAATGCAAGGAGAGAAAAAGACTTCAAAAACGTCATCCATGAACCCATAATGACTCTGCCAGATGACACACTGATTTTGGACATCATTCCTCCCATGGAACTTCATCTGCTTCTTGGAGTCGTTAACCATCTCTACAAAAGTTTATGCCAGATTTGGCCCGCAGCAAAGGAATGGCCAGCAGCCCTTCATATTCAAGAGCAGTCTTTTCATGGTGGCCAATTTGCAGGGAATGACTGCCGCAAACTCTTGAAAAACACTGATCGCCTTTAAAGTTTAGCTGAGCAAAGCTCATTTTTTCTTGCTGTGCCATTTGTTGAAACATGGAGACATTTTGACTCAGTGGTGAATGCTTGCTTTGGAAATCACTTGAGCCCCGATTTTGAACAAAAAATTTTACAGTTTCAGGAGTCGTACCTGAAGTTGCCAAATACTTCAGTCACTCCCAAAGCACATGCGGTGTTTTTCCACCTGAAGGATTTCATCCTTAGACAATTCTAGTCTTGGCATTTTCTCAGAGCAAGCTACAGAATCTCTTCATCACGACTTCAGTTCCCATTGGCAGCGTTACAAACGGGCAAGAATCCATCCAGAATATGAATCAAAGCTTCTGAATTGTGTGATTGATTTCAACAGCAAACATTCATTTTAGAATAAAAAGGATCAATTTTATTGTAAAATATGTTTTTGTTTATATGTCTTATAGAAATATATGGGAAAATTAACTATTTGCTCTATAAATACTGAAAAAATGCCAAATTCCTATCATCTCGTTTAAATTTTGATATGCCAGAATTGAAGAAAATAAAAACTAAAATATCTCTCTTGGACGTCATAGTTCGATTTCCAAATTTATATCTAAGTGATCTACTATATGTGGGCTATCATCCCACCAAAGGGTTTTCTCGGGACATGAAGTTAAGGTTGATGACCATTTCGTGACACTGTGACATACATACATATGTATGTGTGCGTATTAAAATTTTTTTTAATATTCTCTAGTCATATATCTATGTATGTATGGGTGTCAGGGATTATCTTTTTCTGCAGATATCTGAAATTCCAGATATTTTTTTCAATGTTTTTCTGGATTTCCAAATAGTTTTCTGTAAATAATTCTGTAATTCCAAAAAGTTGCAAAAAAAAATTGTTTAAATATTTTTTGTCTTTTCAAAATAGTTATTTTTAATCATTTCGTGCTCTGATTAATGGTAGTTGGTAAAATGCAAACTGCCAACTGGTAAAATATAAATTCTTTTTGTGAACCATATCGTATTAGTTGTTGATGATGTAATATTTTTTATTTTTTGTTTGTCGTTAAATCGTTGTTTTTTTTTTTTTTTTTTTTTTGCTATATATTTTATGGACTATATAAATTATGTTTAATAAAAAGAAACCTAATTTAGATAAAATATATCAAATTCCATTATATTTATATTTAATAAAAAAAAAAAGATATGCAAATGTTTTTTGAATATCATAAATGTAGTAGTCATTAAAATATGTTGCAAAGTAGTTCACATTTTATTGGTTTGCATTTTGCATTTTACCGACTTTCCTGATTAGTAAGTCAAGTAGAAAGAATAAAAGATTTTAAACGATTTATTGTAAAAATAGAAACAAAAAAACAATAAAGCAAATAAATCGTTTCATTGCAACTGGAAGATTTAATTTATTTATTCATAATTTAAATGAACTTAAAAAATTAATCTTTTTAAAAAATTTTAGAAAGTCACTGAAAAATTGTTTTTAAGATTAAAAGAATTTAAATATAACAAATATAATATATTCTTTGTTAATTTACACAAAACGTGTTTATTTTAAACAATCATTATAATTAATTTTTTATTTTATTCAAAGCCTTTCTGTAAAATAAAAACTTTAGAAAAGATTGATTAAAAGTTAACAACTTTTTTATTGCATTTATATTGTTAAACATCAAAACAGCTGTGGTAAAATAATAAATAAATAAAAATTAAATGTGGTCTGTTACAGTGTGAGATCGCATGTCATTACTGTCCAAACCAGCAGTAGGTAAAAGTTTATTTTCCAAGATCGTTTTGTAATTATTTGGTTAGTTTTCCCTATATAAGTTTTTTACAACATCTTGTACTCTTGGTACCCAAAATCTTTCCTTATATTTCTCTGAAGCTAATCTTTTAACAAGAATTCTTGATTTATAATTAACCTCCTCAGAATTTTATTGATCGCTAAAAATGATCTCAGACCAACTTCTACCAACCAACTAAGGCTTTCTCTACCCTACTTATATCTTTTAATCTGTCGCTCTTAAAAGCAGTTTTCTAGTAGAAATAATCAACATCTTTTTTATTAAGACGCTTTCTAAATGTGTTATAACTAACACTAACAAAATCTGCTTTATTACTAAACTCAGTTGATACTTCTTGGTATCTATTTTTTGGATCTTCCTTTACTTTTTGATACAAGAAGCTTTGATCCCTAAAATTTTTTTTGATAATCTCCCAACTTTTTTACATCATTTTAATCAATCAAATTTAGTTTTACATTGTTATATAGAAACAGCAAAATAAAATATAATCTAAATATATATCATAATAAAATATATAACTTAAAGTTGTTTGGATATAGCATAATAAAATGCCACACAATATTGCAATTTCCTGTTGATTTCAACATTGTTTGGATGTAGGATAATAAAACAACGCATTTTGCTATTTCTCATTGACTTTTTTAGACACTAACTATTCCTCATTTACTTCTTGTAATACTGATTTTCTCCCCTTTTTTTTTTTTTTGCTTCAGGTATATCAAGAATTTACCAATTTAAATATCTTTTAAAATACTGGTTAGAAATTGATTTTTTATTCCCCGAATTTATTTGTAATTTATATTATTCAAAGTGAGTACAGGTTTTCAGGGTTCTCAGATAAGTGTCAAGTTTAAATTAAGTGACCTTATATTTTTGGCACATTTTTTAATAAGTAATTAATAGGACTGCTTTAATTAACCATTAAGTTGTTCAGAAAGGATAAAAAAGACCAATAAGTTTTATATATCATTAGAAAGCTAATATATAAATATATAATTTTAAATGATATATTTAAATACCATTTAAAAATTTTTTGAAAATCCAAAAAAATTCAAGTAGCCTTATATTTTTAAAAACCACTGTGTGTGTTTGTAATCCAACATCTAGTTTGTATCATTAAAAAAACTGTAGGATATAAATACATGATATCTTTTGTAACTCTCGTACATTATTCAGCTAAATGTTGTCTTTTCACTTTGCAATATTTATTCTGGCGAATCATGTATATTTTATTTATAAAATTCATGATTTAAATTTTTTTTTTTAAATTTATAAATATGTTGTTATTAAGCAACTCACAAATTATTTATAAAATTTAAAACAAGAGATAAAAGTAATAAATTGCATTATTCAAAATTTTAAAGTATTTTATGTGTTTAACTGATCTAGTTTAATGAAGCAAAAATGTTGAACACTTTAAAAAGTATGTTTTAAAGGAATTCCAAACCTCCGAGACATGTTGTGTTCAAGTTTAGAAGAATGATAAATAAAAATGTTTGAGCTCAAAAAATTTGATTTAAACAAAATAATAAATGCATACAAGAAAAACTAACTTTTGTTTTAGTTTTTTTTATTTTAGTCAAAGCTTTTCCTTTTCTGTTTTGTTGTAGGTCAAATAGTCTTCATAGACACTGCAATTTACAGACTTGATAATTTATTAGAGCGTGTTTTATTCCTATGAGTTTCATTACATAGCGTCATCGATTTTATGTTTAAATAATCTTTTAAACAAACAACAAAATCTATGATGTCATGTGCTAAAAATCTTAAGAAGAGATCACACTTAAATTATCAAGTTGGTAGATTGTGGCATATATAATATAAAGATTGTTTTGCTTAAAACAAAATGGAGAAGGCAAGCTTTGACTAAAAAAAAGTTTTTCTTGGTATGCATTTTATTTATTTATTTTTATTTTTTTATTTTTTATCATTCTCTGTAACACAGCATGACTTAGAGGTTTGGAAACCCTTTAAAGTATATTTTTAAAGTAAATTTAAAATAAAGATGCTTATGAATCAAATTCACTTGCTAAAGCAGAAATAGTTTTGATCTAAATATAAAATCAACTAGAAATAATTTTTATTTGTGCTTTTTAGGTGGATATCAGCAAAATTTTAACCGAGGTGGAGGTGGAGGGTATAACAGTCAATATCAGCACCAAAACTATAATGGTTATAGCAAAAACACAAGCTATAATGGAAATCAATCTAATCGAGGAGAGCAATTCCTGTGGAACTCTGAGCGAGGCTCTCGCTGGGAAACAAATGATGCATTGTGTAAGTTTTTTTTTTAATTACACTTTTAAATGCACTCTATGTTTATTACTATATGTGTGTATTAGTCTATTTTATACTACTGCTCTAAGTTATTAAAAAATGTTATTTATTATGTGATATAAAACATAAAAAGTCTAAATACTACAAAAAACAGTCTAACCAATTACTAATAAACAATTTTTTTTCAAATTCTCTTTAAAAAATGTTTAAAAAGTTGTTATTCATCTTTTGTTTTTTATTTTAAAGAAAAATACTTGGAACAGCAATTTTTGTTTAATTTTTGAAGAAAATTTTTTAAACTTGCTTTTATTTTTTTATATTAAACACATTTGGGTGGGAGGGAAAGCTTAAGGTTTAATGTGGGTTTTTTTTTTAACATCTTCGCTTCCGACAAGGTTGCAAGCAACCACTATTAGAGTTGGAAGTTACTGGAAGAGAAAAGAAGAAGTTCATAGAGCAAGATAACGATTGACAGATGACTTAAAAGATTGCAAATTATATGAATTAGGAAAGCAAGAAGAAGGAAGCGAATTCCAAAGAGCTGATGTTCAGGGAAAAAAACTAGATGAATAAGAATTTTAGAGCATATAAAAGCAGTCACAGAAAATAGATGAGATTTAATTAAATGACATGTAACATAAGAATAAATTTTAGTTGATGGCACAAGAGGTGCTAGCTCTTTAGAGCAGTGTCCATTATAGTGTTTGTAGAAAAGAGAAAGAGAAGCAACATTACAACAATGTATAACGGTTAGGGTTAGCTGCAGAGCAGGTCCAACTTTGTTTACATTGTGTTTTTTCACTTTGTCGAAAAGAGAAAGGGCATCACTAGAAGATCCTCCCCACATATGGCAACAGTATTCCATACAAGGACGGATTTGAGATTTATAGAGAATCCAGAGTAAGAAAGTGGCAAGCACGATAAAGAGATGCAACCTTGGTTTTCAAAAATGCTTTATACTTTTCTCTATTATTAAATATTCTTTTTGAATTCCAAATTTGGGTGCAGATTTTTTTGGTAATCCTAATTGCTCAACCAACATTTTGAAGATTTGTGTGTATTGTATTACTTTTTGTTTATAGCTAATGCAGACTGGTCCAAGTTGTTGCCAAGAAATGAAAGACTTGAGATGTAATTTTTAATTTTAATTTTTTTTTTAAGTTTGTTTATTGGCATATTTATATATCATATCTAAACATTTTTATTTATTATATTATATTTATACATTTTTGTTTTTTATCTCTGCTGAGAACTTAAAAGCTAGTTTGAATTTTAAATTGATGAAATATTATCAAATAAGGAGTGTTGTAAAACTTTTTTATTTTCAAATTGTTAATTACTCAACTTAACTGAGCTGTTTTTTAGTTGTATTCTGATCCTTGTAATGATTAATAGTGTCTTTTGTTTAGCTTTGTTTTACATAATCTCAATGCTAAAGTAGATGTTTTAAAAAAATTATGAATAACAAAAAATTATGAATATTACAATTTACATATTAACATTATTAATTATTAACATATTACAAATTATGAATAACATATTACAAAGTGTTATTCCTTTGTTTAGGGAGTTGTTTACATCAGCACAATCAGGTATAAATTTTGACAAGTATGAAGATATCCCTGTAGAAGCTACTGGAAGCAACACTCCAAAGAGCATAGAGACAGTATGCAATAATAGTTTACATAATTCTTTCTAAAAAAATGTTTTAGATTATTTTTATTAAGAAAAATTCTTTTTATCATAGTAATTTTTATATAACATTTTTTATATATATATATATATATATTTTTTTTTTTTTTTTTTATAGTTTGATGAAGCAAATCTTGGAGAAATTATTCTCACTAACATATCAGTAAGTTAAAATCAGTGGAAAAAAATTGTTTTTTTTTTTTAATTTATTTTTTAGTATTGTTTTAAAATAGCAAGTTGTTATTATCTAGTTAGCACATTATACCAAACCAACTCCTGTTCAAAAGAATTCTATTCCAATTATTAAAGCAAAAAGAGATCTGATGGCATGTGCTCAAACAGGTAATTTTATTTAAGGATTTGTTTAAAAGTGGTAGATTAAGCCACCTTTTTTGTTTTTATCTTTGGTTGTAAACTTATGAAAACTAGTTAAGTGGGTAACAAATGCAATGAGTGACTAGTATTTATCAGTTACAACACTTTAAACTTTGATTTACCATTACTAGGATCTGGAAAAACAGCAGCTTTCTTAGTACCAATTCTCAGTCGAATATTTGAAGAAGGACCATTTGAAAATCCTGTATGTTTAGTTGTTTAAGGTTTATATCAATCAATTGAATTTTAAAATTTTGAAAATAATAAGTCAATTTTTTATTTTAGTCAAATGTTCGTCAAGGTGGCAAAAAGAAGCAGTATCCAATTGCATTAGTTTTAGCTCCTACAAGAGAGCTAGCATCCCAAATATATGATGAATCCAGAAAAGTAATTAAATTTTTAATTGTTATGTTTACCACAAGTTATTAAATATTTCTTAAAAATAAAACCTTAAACAGATTTTTTGTTGTTGTTCTGTTCATGCCTTTATTTTTCTTAAAAGCCTAGTACATACATTTTTACTGTATTATGCTCAACTCTAAAAAATGTTTTACTGGCATTTAGTTTGACGTGATGTCTTTAAATGCAATGAAAAAAATTTATTTTTATAAAATTATAAAGTCTTTATAGAATTTTTAATCTTTAAAAAAAAGTTCCTGTTAAATAGCTTAAGCTCAACAAATTTCTTGAGATTAGGTAATCAAGTTTTGCAACTAATTTAAAGCTTTAAAATTTTCTTTTAAAATATACTTATTAAATATTATAAACAAAAAGTATATTTACAAAATATTTTTGATATTGATATAATATATATACATTATTTAGTTTGTATATCGCTCGTGCATACGCCCATGTGTTGTTTATGGTGGAGCTGATGTAAGCACTCAAATGCGTGATATTGATCGTGGGTGCCATTTGCTAGTAGCGACCCCAGGTCGTTTAGTAGACATGATTCAGCGTGGAAAAGTTGGTCTTGAATGTATTAAGTTTCTTGTATTAGATGAAGCTGATAGAATGCTAGACATGGGATTTGAACCACAAGTACATAATTGTTTATTATTATATTCATAATTTTTTTAAATATATTATTTCTAATGTTTTAAATAACAAATTTTTACACAATTTTTAACATAGATAAGAGAAATTGTTGAGAAATGTGACATGCCAAGAACTGGTGAACGACAAACTCTGATGTTTAGTGCTACTTTTCCTAAAGAAATTCAGGTTTTAACATTGTTTTTATTTGGGTAATTTTTAAAAATTCTTTTACTCTATTATGCATAGCAATTTGTATACAGTCTGAAAAAATTCACTAAAGTAAATCCTTTTAAATGTAGAATTAAATCTTTTATTTCAAGGAAATTTTATCTTTAATGACTTAGATGTTAGCCAGAGATTTCTTGGATAATTATATATTTTTGGCTGTTGGTCGTGTTGGTTCAACCAGCGAAAATATTACACAAAAGGTGGTTTGGGTTGAGGAACATGATAAAAGAGAATTTTTACTTGATTTACTAAATGCTTCAGGTTGGTTTTGCTTTGCATGGCACCTATATGTTGTATTTTTGTTTCGTTTAAATGTTCTTTTAATGTTTTTTTTAGTTCCTCTTTTTTTATACTTATATTTTTTGTTTATATTATATATTATTACTTATAAATTATTCAAATAATTTTAGGACCAGACTCTCTTACTTTGGTTTTTGTTGAAACTAAACGTGGAGCAGATGCTTTAGAACAGTTTTTATTTCGATGCCCAGAAAACTATCATGCTACTTCAATTCATGGAGACCGTCATCAAAGAGAAAGAGAGCAGGCTCTTGCTTCCTTTAGAGTGGGTACAACACCTATTTTAGTGGCTACTGCTGTAAGTAGATTTATGAATTGTAGTTAACGTTTTATAAAAATTTAAGTCTTTAGATTGAAAGTTGTTAGTTTTAAAAAGACTATTAGATAAATAAATTGACTTTTTGCTTTCAATCATTTTACTTAGGATGTATAATAAGTCATTAAACAGATCCAAAAAATGTTGTTGTCTCATATTTTAAGCTCTAAAGCATTGTTCTATATCAGAAAAATAACTTTTTTTAGGTGGCTGCCAGAGGCTTGGATATTCCAAATGTAAAGCATGTGATCAATTTTGACATGCCTAGTGATATTGAAGAATATGTTCATCGAATTGGTCGAACTGGTCGTGTTGGACATACAGGTCTAGCTACTTCTTTTTTTAATGATAAAAATCGCAATGTTGCTCGCGATTTAATGGATATTTTGGCTGAGGCTAAACAAGAAATACCTTCTTGGTTAGAGTCAATGGGTTATCAAGCTCAGCAACATCAAGCTGCTAAAAAGGCACAAAAGACAAATAGGTAATGACTTGATTATTTTGTTTAAGTTTTTAATTAACAATATTTGTAAATAATTTTTAAGGTCTATTTTGTTTAAGCTTACATTATTAACAAGCGTACTCTCTTTCTGGTTTTTATCATTTAGAGTACTTTATTTATTAACTATAATTTCACATTTAAAAAATGCAATTTCTGCAATTTTTAATAAAAAGTAGGGGTCATAGTAAAAAGAGTTATGACAATCCGAAATGTGTTAAGCAAAAAAAACCTTTTATATATAAAAAGTCATTAAAAATAATAAATTTTTAAGTTTTAAAAATTTAGACTGCAAATCCCTCAGATTTTAAAATCCTAATATTGTCATTTAGGTTATGCATTAATAAAATGATTATGTAATGGAAATTGTTTAAGGGATATTTTTGATTTTGTAATGAGAAAGATCTAAAATATTGCTGTCAGTCAAACTTTAAAAAATATTTTCCTAAAACAATGCCTTATTTTATATCTTTTCTGAATGTTTTTGAAAAGTAGGAGCTTGCAAACATTAAATGCTGATGGTAGTATCAAAGTAGTAGCTTGCAAACATTAAATGCTGATGGTAGTATCAAAGTAGTAGCTTGCAAACATTAAATGCTGATGGTAGTATCAAAACATTAAATGCTGATCTGATAAAAATTAAATCCTGATTTTATAAGATAACAATATGGGTTTTAATTTTGAAAATATATATATTTATCACTTTGATTTTAAAGACACTGTTAACTATGTTTAACATTGCATATAATTGTTTAAATGGAAAAAATTTAATATGAAAATTTTAAACTGGCGGTCATTTTAAAGCACCAACAAAAATTAAGTCTTTAACTTAAAATCAACTTTAATCAAAACTTAATAATGTTGTTCAGGAAAACTGCTTAAGTTTGAAGTTTGAAATATGATTAAATGAGAGTGTAAACCAGGGGGTTAATTGGCAAAATTATTAAAAAGGGTTTGTGGTCGCAGCTTTACAGTAGTTCAGTTTTATAGCTTCACTATTGTTATATAAATCCAAAAAAATGCCTTTTAATAAAAAAAATTTTTTGGTTTACAAATTTTTGTCCTATTCTGGACCTTCATTACTTATGTATTTCGCATTATTTACTTTCAAATATTATTACTTTTAGATATGGCGGAGGTGGTGGTGGTTTTGGGGGACGCGATTATCGGCAGTTTAGTGGAAATCGTGGTGGGGCAGTTGGTGGTGGAAGTAATTATTATCAGGCTCCTCAACATGTTGGCAATCCTTATCAACCTTCTTACCAGCCTACATATAATCACCAGCCTGCTTACCAACAAAATAATTATCGTGGTACTGGAGGACGTGCTCATAGCAATAACAGTGATGATTGGTGGGAAAAATAGTCTAATGATTATTGAGTCGCTAACTAGTTTAAAAGTTAACGAACTCTTGTTTGGTCGATATTGTTTTGTTCTTATAAAGTCCTAGGAGCTGAAAGGTTGTCCGTTCTGCTAAAGAGGGTGATATTGGAGAATTTTAAAAGAGAATTAGGCAGAAAGAAACTGGACATTAAATGTCTGTATGGAAGTTCTTTTGGTGTTATAATGTGTAATGTTAAAGCTTGAGCTGGTTTATTCTGCTATATAAAAAGGCTGTGTTCTATATATAAATAATGACAAGTTAGCGTTAATGCTTTGCTATAAAATGATAGATTAATCTGCTAGTGGATTATGATATGGCTAATGTATAAATGAAGTTGCTGTTAAAAATGTTTTAGTTTTGTGTTAATTTTTTTTTATATAGTTAAACATTTTTGTTATGTTTGCTATAAGTGTAGGTTTCTAAATTAATAATTTATTTAAACAACGTCTTGATGACGTGATAGTTGATTTAGAGGTGAATATGACTCTTGTGATATCGAATATGACACGGGTTATTCACTCTTAAGATTACAAATAGTTATTTTGTTAGACAAAACTCTATTCTGTCATTTTTTATTTTTCTTATAAATTGTTCAGAATAGAGTAATTTTTAGTATTTTACGCAGTAACTTCATAGGAAACGTATGTTTTATAAGATGTTTTCTCATCGATTTCCAAAATGGAAATTTATAAATAGTCAAAGCAGATTTTTTTAAATTATATAAAAGCAATATATTTTTCTGTTGAGTTATATTTATGAAACTAGTTTTTATTATTTTTCACATTATTATTAAATTTTTTTTTAATTCTCAATAAGATAAAAATGAAACGAAAATATTTCACACACAACTTTGAAATAGTCTTGAAAATTTTTCTATTTTTTCTTAAAGAGTCTTTTATACGAAAACTTCTGCGAAGACGAAGTGTGTTTATTATAACTAATATATGAACTAGTTTTATTAGCGAAACAGATTATTTATTTATTGACACTAATTTTTTACTCTTTTTTTCTCTGTATATATTTGGTTTGCAATGTTCGTGCTAATTTTTCCTTTTCAAATGCTTTCTGTTTCTATTTTCTATTGTCTTTAATTGTGAAAATAAGTTTTCTAAACCATTCTTTTATGTATGTTAAATGGATTTACCTTAACGCTCCTTTTTCATGAAATAAAAATTAAAGCAAATATATTTGGTTTTTATTACCTGGATTTTACTTTCAAATAATCGGTGCGAGTCAATCGTGTAATCAGTAATGTTCAAGATTTTTTGTGAAAAACGAGTGTAGCTATAGAATTGCAGTCAATTTTATAATTTTGTTCCTAAATGCGTTTTAAAACGAAGGCCTAATAGAATTTTTATACGAAATGTTCTAGCACTTAAGGCTCTCAGTTGTCGTGACATTAGAATAATAGGGTTCTATCTCCCTTAAGAAGTTAAAGGAATTTAACAAAATTTGTTAAAATCTCTGAAATTTTTAAAAGTAAAAATTTGTTAAATCAAAATATCGAATATGTTAAACTTATTACTTAAAATGCATATTATTTATTAGGTAATATAAATTGGTATAAGACAAAATAACATAGATGAGAATAATAAGGTTCTCCAAATTTTTATGGTAAAAAAAATTAATTTTCTGTTATTAATGATAGCATTGTTTTTATGTTCAAAATTATACAATTTTAATATATTAATCTTTTTACTATTGTTTATATAACTTTGAAAATTATTAGTTTTTGTTTTTTCATTGTCAATTTCAACCTTATTTAACAAAGTTGGAATTTATTTATTTGTGGTCAAGTAATTTTAAAAATTATGAAAATAACAATGTAATATGATTATAAAACATAAATTTTATCAATATAAACAACAACTGTAAAACATTTAAATAATTAAAAATAAAAAGTTAAATTCTCACAGCGTTAAAAAAATATAGATAGAACTCTATTATTCTAAAATCACGTTGTCTAAGTAGCAGAGATTATCTTTTTCTGGACATTTCCGGGTATATTTTTCAAATTATAGTTTTTCTGGATATCCAAAGTATTATTCATACATTCAAGTTTAGGTGTAGGGGAAGGTTGCGTAAGATGAGCAGATTCCTAAGACGGTATAACCTCTTATACGGATAGACTAATGATATTTTTGCAAAATTTTTTGGTTAAGGATATTCATACAAGTTTGACGGTGTTATTTATTTTAATTTCTTGGTTGTATAGTTAATATTCTTTGATTGTTTTAGTGTTAATAAAATTTACCATCCCGTTATAATTTTTTATTATTCAATATTTTGTAGTTACGTCAGAACAAAACAAAATCATAAAAAATTTATTACATCCTCAATGCTTATCTACTGCTAATTTCATGGGTTACATAAGATAATACATAAGATGTTGTCATAATATTTAAATTATGATAGTACTTGATGAAGTTGCATAAGATAATACGTTTCAAGACGCTCAATATAAGAGGTGGCTTTTTGTTAAGAAAAGCGCGTTTTTTTAAAGTTATTATCCACGGAGCTTTATTTTGGTATTTCAAGAGCGAAAATTTTTCAAAAAATAGTATTGTGAACTTTTTTAAAAATAAGGAAAGATTTATAATTGTTTTTTTTTTTATGGTTGAGATAGTTGCTTTTTTTTTTTTTTTTTTTAATTTTTTTTTTTTTTTTTTATTACAATCATTACTACAATTTCTATTATAACTTGTGAATAAAACGTAAGACATAAAAAAAGAAATAAATAATATTAACAATAAAGATTTCGTTAACGATAGAAATATGACAATACATATAACAATAAAAATTAGGAATAAAGAATGCGGAAACTCGAAGAAGTCCTTGAGGTCTTGTCGTAGAGAACCGCTGGAATCAAAACGCTTTAAACGAACTCATTTTTATTGATTTTTTGTAAATGTTTATTAGCTTTTGAATTGGATCTGTTCCGATAAATAATTATATAAACCGTTGCATAGAATAGTTAAAAATAATATACTTCAGTATAATTATCGATGTGTTTGATGACGTCATAGTGTGTTGGTGATGTTAATATAAATCAAATAGATTAAAAAAAAAAAAAATTGAATTGAACATTTCTTGCATTAAAATTGTAGAAAATAAAATCAGAGTGGTGTGGACATTCTTGTTGATAATTAGCTCTTGTTCTAATATAGTTTTTTTTTTAAGTATATATTGTGTTTGCATCTTTACCATACAAGCGATCATAGGTGGTATCACCGAATCCCAATCCAGCCCAACGATTGCCAAGCAGTTATAGTTATAGTTGGGTGTTCCTACGCCAGAGGTTATGCAGCACTATTCTTTTTTTTTTTTTTTTTTTTTTTTTTTTGAATATACATAGACTGCAAGCACACACACACCCATACTAATAGCACATATACACCCATATATACACCAATATACATACATAAATACATATATACACAGATACACATACACATTTATACATGTTTTATTGATTTTATTTTATTTTTTTTCATTTATTTATTTTTTATTTTTTTTATTTCTTTCTTTTTTTTTTTTTTTTCTTTTTAATTTTTTTAAAACCGTGTTATAAAAACCGTAATAAAATTTTTTTGTTTTTTCAAATACTAAATAAAAGATAAAATAAACCTGAAAATTTATACATACTAGCAATATATAATATAAAGCAATATACAATACGAACTCAAATAATAAATATTTATATATCTATTCATAGCTATCAGTTTCAGTACAATCTCAATGTAACTATATACTTAGGTAAACTTAGTTTTAATAATAGGTAGACAAACCCATAACACTAGTAATATAGAAAACGTTCTCCATAGAAAGAATTAGATTTTTAAGCTTAGTTTTGAAAATAGAAAAAGAAGAAGGTAGATCAAAATTTTGCAAAATAACTTTATTCCAAAGATTAGGTGCACGATAATCAATACAAAGCTGATTAAACTTGGTTCGACATAAAACTTGATTTAGCAAATTATTATTTCCATTTTTCCACATATATACAAAACATAGAGTATTATATAAATTCACTTCGTAAATATTAAGTATTCTCATTTCGTTAAATAAAGGTTTTGAATGAGTAAAACGATCGGAAAAATTAATAATACGAATTGCGTGTTTCTGACGTGAAAAAAGACGTTTCAACTTATTCTTTCCAGCACTTCCCCAAGCAATATTTACATAATTTATATAATAATGGATAAACGAATGATAGAGTTGGGTCAAGCTTTTTTTAATTAGATAATCTCTAGATTTATATAAAATTCCAATATTTTTAGAAATCTTGGTACATACGTGATCAATATGCTGTTTCCATGTAATGTGCTCATCAAGATAGACTCCTAAAAACTTTATGACAGAGTCCCTCTTAATCTCAATTTGGTTAATAAATATTTTAGGCAGATTTATGGGTAGGTAACGTTTTTTTTGAAACGGGTGGAAAATAATCCATTTTGTTTTATTAAGAGTTAATTTGTTACACTTGAACCAGGATTAAGAGTTAATTTGTTACACTTGAACCAGCTAGATGTTTTTTTAAGTTCGTCATTTATATTACAAAACAGTTTGGAGATGTCAGTATCAGAAAGGAATAGGTTAGTATCATCAGCGAACATAATGCTAAGTAAATTTGAAGCTTTATTTAAGTCATTAATGTAAATCAAGAATAAGAGGGGTCCCAATATAGAGCCTTGAGGAACACCGCAAGATATATCTAATAAATTTTTTTGGCTATCATCCTTACAAGAAACAAATTGTTTACGATTTGATAGGTAGCTTTCAAACCATCTTAAAGTTTTTTCGTTTGTACCATAATATTTAAGCTTATGCAGTAATATTGTGTGATCTACTGTATCAAAAGCCTTAGATAGGTCAATAAAGATACCTAGTGTGTATTGGGAATTTTCAAAGGATTTTGAAATTTCGCGTACAAATTGAATGATTGCATGTTCCGTGGAGTTGTGCTTTTTAAAGCCAAATTGATTGCTATATAGTAGGTTATTGCATTGAAAATAATCATAGACTCTATTATACATAATTCTTTCTAATATTTTTGAAAATATAGGTAAGAAAGAAATGGGTCGGTAGTTGCTAATAATAGCCCTATCACCTTCTTTAAAAATTGGGGTAATTTTTGTTATTTTTAGTTGTTCAGGAAAAATTCCTTGATTAATTGACGCGCTAAAAACTTTAAAGAGAATATCTTTTAATTGTTCAAAACAGTTTAGAATTATATTACCATTAATGTCATCTGCTCCAGTAGCTTTATTTTTTTTCAGAGTTTTAGATGCTATTTCAAATTCTTCAAATGATAATTTAGAAGACAACTCCCCAGATGTAATGCAATCATTCATCGGTACTAGAAAATCACTAAATATAGCCTGCGTCTTTAGAATCTTATTTGCCAGTTCAGGGCCAATTTTAACAAAAAAATTATTAAACTCGCAAGCTATTTCTTTTTGTTCATAGATGATTCTGTTATCAACCTTGATGACCTGGGGAAGGAAACCTGAGCAGTCTTTTTTTTTTCCGCTTATTTCTTTTATTATTTCCCATGTACGTTTTTTGTTTTCCGCTTATTTCTTTTATTGTTTCCCATGTACTTTTTACTTAAGTATAGTCCTTGAAGATACGATTTTTTTTTTTTTTTTTTTTTTTTTTTTGTGGTTATTATTAATTTTTTTTGAGTTCCATTAAAAAAAGCTCATCTTAGGATTGTGTGGGTTGAAGAAAACGCAATTTTTGGTATATAGATTTTTTTGAACTATTTTTTTATCTCGGCTCGGCGATAATACATATTATACATGTACGATCTTTTTTATTGTAAATTTTATGAAACGGCAAAGGAAATAAATAAATAAATTTATATTCTTTAAGAGGAAAGATGAAATTATCAATATTCTTAAAAAATATATATCTTTTTGTAATCTTTTGGGAGCAAAATACATTACACTGAAAACATACTCAACTAACGCAACCTTACCTATATTTTTGTAATATACTTGTTTTTAAGCTTTTCACTCATTACTCATACAAAAATTATAAAAAGGTTTGCAAAAAAAATTAGAAACAACTCAGCTAAAAGCAAAATTAAAAGGAAAATAAGGAAAAACATATTCCGGATATTTTATCTAAACAATTTTCTAGATTTTTAAAATATGGCATGAATAATGTATAAGTAGA